CTGATTTTTTTTGACGACAACACCAATGAGCAATTGATCATTTTCTCATTCGGTTTATTGGATCTGTTGTTCATTATACATTTATCATTATTCACATTATTCCGTGTTCATTTCGTGCTCATTATTATAATGGCTCGTCAGTCTCATAAATCGACGTTTTCGATGAATGATGGTATTATTTAGTTTGGAATTTATGCGTGTGATCATTGATTCGTTAGATTAAAAATGACGTGGAATTGATGAATGGATCATGTTGAGCAGCTTGGAGTTTTGCTCTATTCTGAAGCACTGCTACTGCGTTCATGCCAACATTTTTCCAGATCTTTCATCGTTTCAGTGCGCTTTTTGCTTTGGGTGATCAAAAACTGGTAAGCATTCATCGACGAGAAATTAATTGCATGTGTTCGACTTAATGTTAATGGGATGATGTGCTGATTGTATGCTTCATTAATCACTGACAAGAGCGTGTTTTTAGCAGAATTAGACTTGAAAATGAAAGGGGTGTATTTGCGAGATGAACGTCGTCAGTGTGAGAATAGAGCAATTGTTGAGTAGATTTGTTAAGAGAGAAGTAAATTTCGATTTCATAACAGTGTGAGAACATGATACATAAATCATCATTTGCAGTAGATGACGGTATTGACTGTAGAAAATCAAACAACTTAAACTAGAAAAATTCTGTAAATTATGATGTCAAATACCGTGGAAAAAAGTGTACAGATAAAAAAGTATCAAACAATTATGCTGGAACGGAGTATCATTCATGTTTGCGTGGGTTCAGGGGATCCCGACTTTTCAGTCCTGATCCCGGTCTTGCGTTTATGACTTGAGAACATCCGAAATTCCGGAATTTGCTAAAACGCGGTATTGATTCGATCGTCTGCATAGCAAGTAAGTTGAGATAAAGTTAAACTTCTCGGTAGATAATTGAATCGTGCGGGATTTAAAGCTTAGTGATCAGTTAGATGTTTCAAATGCCATCTTTTATTGTTATTTCCATAACATAGGGAACACTGCAGAATAAGGAGTGTAATTTAAATGTTGTAGTTTGCAATTCTTTCATGAAAGGGAACATGAGAGCAATTTTGCAGTAAGAGCGAAATGCGTTGCATTATATGCTCCTTTGCAAAATCGTATTGAGAGGAGCACTAATTGACTTATCGGTCAACTTAATGCGTGAAGAAGGAACAAATTCCAGAGTAGTGTGTTGCGTTGCGTTTATATGATAATATTTGTCCATTTATTTGTAGATATGTAATGAGATCATTCTATGAAGTAAATGTTTCACAGCTCCTGCAATGTCGAGGAATATCGGAGAGCCTGTCCCCGATTCCCTGTGCCCGACTTCATTCGAGCCGAGTGCATTTTTGGGCTTCGCCACTGCAAAATTCCGTCCACGACTTTTCCGCTTCCCGCATCACATTAGTCTGGGGTCAACAGTTTTTTCAACTCGCGATACTTAAGCATCTTAGAGGATCCTGCCAGCATTTTACATTCACTGCACCAATATGTGATTAATATCTCTCTGAGAACAATGGCCAAATTCCGTTTTCTATTCTGAGCTCTTTTTAGGAATATTTCGCTAGTATTGCGCATCTTTCAAAGTTTTTCATTCATAGCAACATTTTCCATGTTTATCATTGTTTCGTCGTTTCCAAGCTTGTTTATATAGTATCTTGGAGCCATTGTCGAGTAGGACAGAATTTTCTTAAGAAGCGATTGGTTAAGGGCTAAAAGGAGGAAGTATTCTTTCGTGCGATACGTTTCAGCGACAACAAAGTGTCGTCGGTGTTGTTATTCGAAGTTGCAGTGGTGCACGTTTGCTGGTTGCTGCAAAACTTTTGTTTGCTTCGTTAATATTCTCTAGCGAATATGCTTCGTTCTATAGTTCTCGTTGACGCCACTATCGGCCATCTTATCAGCATAGGTATCTGATCAGTGCTATCAGTGATTATCAGGGTTGAAGTATTGCCAACTGATATGGTGATCAGTAAACGTTCATCATTTCTGTGCCACTGATAGTATTCCTATCACGCTTTTATCTTACCGTTTCATGAGCATTTTCTATCGATCATAATTTGATCAGCTTGAGGAGCTATGCACAAAACGATGCGCATTTGGTTCTGATGTTAAGCTGTGAAACTGCAAAATACGCAGTCATCGATCAGATAGAGCAAGAGTGGATACATGTTTTGGGTTCTTGTTTTTATGCCTAATAATATCACTCACATCCGGATATAGCCTGATATGTGTTTGTTTATTTGTGGATATGTGGAGATATCCTTTTATCGAGTGAAAATTGACATTTGATGAGTTATTAATTGTGTATTAAGCCTAGCAATATGTTGTTTTTCACATGTCTGTTAAGTCTGTTTAACCATCATCACATTATCATCAACCACGATCTTTCGTGTTTACTGAGCAGTTATGTGGCGTATTGATAAGAAATGTTGAAATGAGTTCAGCAGTTTCGAGTGTTTTGCTTCCAGTTTCTTGTTCGTGCACATCTATCTATTCATTTGTATGTGATTTGTCAGGCTGGATTTTTATTTCTGGTGATTGCTTGTTCGGTTCCATTTTTCTCACTGGCGTTTTGCATCAGTAAAACAATTCAATCTGGCGTTTTGCATCAGTAAAACAATTCAATCTGGCGTTTTGCATCAGTAAAACAATTCAATCTGGCGTTTTCCATCAGCAAAACGTTTTCTAACTGGCGTTTTCCATCAGCAAAACGCCAGTAATGTGTTATTTATATCGTATACGAAGGTTTTACCACCTTTAATCTAATTGTAAATTGACTTGTGTTAAGTGGACGAATATAATCTTTATTCGTATGTTATCCCGAAAATATTGCGAAGTAGTTTAGTTGTTTGAAGCATGCACGCGTTTTGAATTTTCCATTATGGTATAGCAGCGAAGCCGTGCAATTGTTCGTTTAGAAACATAAAATGTTTCGTATTTGATCATTAATTATTCATTTGCAGTTGTTTGAGGTGACGTGAAACGTGATCTGTGTCATACGAGTAACGACGATAAATAGTGTGCGATACGCTTTTCTCATCATTCGGAAACAATAACAAGTTGAACTATCGCTGTTATTATTATTCTTATTACTTTTTCTATTGTCATTATTTGATTTAGAGTTATTCTTTAATAACCTTATTCCAATACTGATTGTTACCAACTACTTACCGGTATTTAATAAGACAAGTTGTGATAAAACAAGGGCCAATTAACTGGTTAACACGACCTCATACTTCGAAAAAACTGAAAAGCAAACAGTTATCGGGGCCAGTTCATATCATAGTGTCTATTGCTATGCGATGTTTTCGATAGAGCGTCGACAAACGGAATCTGCACAATGCGATAAATCTTCACTGATATCAGCATCCACTCCTGTCACTTCGTTTATTCCAATCACCACCAACTCATCGAATCTTCAAGACCGTTCTCATTATCCGTCCAACCGTTCTGCGGCTTATTCGGATGGTCCCTTCAGTCCACCTTCATCATCTGCGTCCTCATCGTCATGTTTTGCGATCTCGGGCTCTGCGCGATATTCGTCAAATATTGTTGGCTTCAGACGCGGTGCTGACCCGCAAAGCTTTCGTTGCATCCGACTTCCACCTGCTGATAGTAGTGGTGGCTTCATGACGGCAAGTAACACATCAAGACTGTCAAGAACACTGGCTATGAAACGACGAAAACGAATCGGAACAAGGAGTCTCTGTAAATATGATTGCCGCCGTCTTTCGTCGAATCAGGATTCTGATACGGATATTAGTAATAATTATAGTAGTAATAGTGATGACGAGTATGATACTTTCAATGGTTTTACCGGTTATGACGTGACCAAACAACACCTGCCCAGCGATTATCCACTGCAACTTCTATGGCGATTCTGCTATTGCACTTTGTTTTGCTGGTTTTATCAGTGCCATTTATGGCGATCATATTTTGTGCTGTCCATTTTGCTGTTTGGTGGCCTCTCACCGGCACTGGTGATGGGTGAATACCCACGGGTTTTGATCATGGTGGAGAAGTACGCCGACGAGAAATCCTCATGGGAATTTCATAGCAGATCGTCACGACAAGCTGAGATATCAAGGAAGACATGGAACGAATATGTACTCTATAAAGGTGCGTATGAGGCGATTTATTGGTCTATCTAAATTTTTTTGATAGGTGATGATAGTTTATTGCCGAGTACAAAAATATATAGAAGCATTAATACAGCATGAAAGGCGGATCGCTCCAACATCATGCCGCTTG